TTTAGGAACCATATTGATTTTTTTTGGTAAAAATTTGAGGATTTCAAATACCATTAAATCAAAAGATATTGTTAAAAGGATTTGAATTCGTGTAAGCTAAGTTCAAAATTTAGATCTGGTGTGTAACACCCCAAAATAGGGGTTAAATTTTAGGATTTTTAAAGTATTAAATTTAAAGTGGTATTTTGGAAGAAATTGAGGATTAAATTGTAAAATCGTAAAGTTGACATATCATTTTATAAAGTGCAAGAAATTCAGTGACTAAACTCATAATTTAGCCAATTTTCTTTATGAGAGAATTATAATCCCTCTCTCCTCGTGCAATCAGTTTTTCAGATTTCATTTTTCTCATTTTCCTCCTCCGGTCAACCCACTTTGAGTTCCGATCTACTCACCGTCCGACCACCGTTTGACGAACCGAAACCACCATCTGTTCGTTGTCGATAGATGAACAAAACCCCTCAAACCTCTCATCGTGAATCGACATCGTTCGTCATTAATTTTAATCGGAAGTATAGTCGATTTCAACTCAATTTCCGTTGGTTTTCCGTTGATTCACGTCGATCCGGCCACCTGTTTTCGACACCCCCAAAACCATCGTGTTCCTTGCATCGTTCCGAGTCTACCAGTGTCCCCGTCGTCGCCAGCGCGTGGAGGGTGAGAAAGTTAAAGTTTTCAATATTTCGGAATCGAGCTCTCTGCCATACAAAATTGTGAACCGAGCTTTGTAAGTGTCTCAAAATGCCATAAAATATTTTTTAGATTTTTTTGGGAATTTTTCGGACACCGTAGCACTGTTCACACACCCCCTGAGAGTGGGCTTCGTCTGGCAGCTTGATAAGCAGTTGAGCAGAGCCAAGCCGCTGAGCCGACTGAGTTAACCTGCGCTGAGTTAACTCGACTGAGTCAACTCATTGGGTTAACTCGTTGACTTTGATCGAGTCAACCGTTGACCATTGACTTTGACCAAAAAGTCAAAATTTTCAAAAATTCATATTTTATATTTTACAACGTCTTGAGTTCGATTCCGTAGTCCGTTTTTCCAAATTTGACTTTGACTAAAAAGTCAAAATTTTTGAAAAGACATATTTTATGTTTTTTGACTTCCTGAATCCGAATCCGAATCCGAATCCGAAGTCCGTTTCGTCAAATTTGAACCCGGTAAACTGTTTTTGACTGATTAATCACCCGATTCGATCCATTTTTCGTAATTAAGCTTCGTTTTTAATGAAATTTCTGTTGATATGCATCCAAGGAATTATTGGAAGTTGCTTTCAAGATCGATGACATTCGAATGGAGTTTAAATGGTTGATCAGTATTGCACGAAAATCGAGGTAATACTTTACTACCTCTTTATGCTTTATAGAACATGTTGATATTGGTAAATGCATGAATATGATAATGTTTGGTCTCATTTGTGTAGTTAATTAATTTCTACACTCGATCCGAATACGGTAAAAATTCGGTAACTGAATGTGGTTAAGATGACTTATATAAGAAATTGAGGGATTGTTAAAATTAAATTACAAGTTCTGTGATTAGTGATAAATGAATCAGCCCTGGATTTGTAACTTATAATTTATATCATCAAAGGTTAAATGTTAAAAGTACATGCATGAGAAATTATAAAAATACTCCAGTTTGGTAAAATTACGAAAATACCCTTATGATGTAAAATGACAAGGATTATCCCTAGAAGTTGATTAATAATAACTCTGAAAAGATTTATTGATCGGATAAAACTACAGATTTGCATAAGAAATGCTAGTTTTGTTTTAAAAATATGGATAACCGGTTTTAACCCCACAAGGGTTTGTGCAATGTACTAGAAGTTTGATAAGAAATCATTTCAAGTTCAGATATTAGCTGGGAAAACAATTAACCCTAGGATCTTTAAATTATATTATCCTTGTTAAGAGCTTAACACCGAAATTATCTGGGTACGAAATTACAAAAATGTCATTGAGAGGTAAAAATAGTCTGAGTTGACCCTGGATGAGAATGTACCCAAAGATTTTGTAGCTAACCCGATAAATTGAAGATTTAATTGTTAAGATCCTGTTTTTGTACAGAAAAATTCCTGATAACTTGTTTGTAATTTCTGAGAAGGCAATTGACCTAAAAATCTCCGAGTTAAGAATAAATTATCGAGGATGCTCTTTTGATAGAATTATTTGAAAGGACTGAAATAAATGATAAGTTTGAATTTGATAATAAGATCAGACGGAAGGAAATGATTGAAATATACTAGATCTGTAAAATGACCAAAATGCCCTTATGGTCTAGGATAAATAAATGTTTTGGGTTAGTTAAGAAATTCAAATAAACATGGATGTTGTACTTCTCTTAAAAATTATGGAACGCAATTTAAGTCGGTCAACCAACGCTAGTGCTATATCAGTACCTGAATGGTATAGATATCACTTGAATGCTTGTTTGTTTCCTCAAGTTTGGCTTGATGATAATTATGGAAGTATTCAGCACAGCTCAACATTAGAGATCATTCGATATTAAGGAATAGATATTTGTGAGATAAATCAACCATGAATAGAAAAATGATTTTATTATATGACCAAAATGAACTGAACGGAAGTACAACATGTATTCGAAATTTAGAAATGTCCTAATTACTCTGGAAAACTCTAGAGTAATCAGAATAGACTTTACTACTAAATGAATTAAGTAACATTAATGACTGAGAATTTAGTAAGTGATTGGATGAGTCTGGGAACACCAATGAACTTGCATGATGTACGATCCCTATGGGTTATGAACCAAGAATTAAATACATTGATAATTCTTGATATTGTTGCCATGTGGAAAGAAATAAAGATTATTGGGATATCTGTTCGCTTCCTTAACATATATTCAACGATGATTCTGAAGATGATTTATGGACAAGAGTTGTTGGTATTAAAGAGTGAATACCCTGGAAGGGCAATGAATTGACCAGTTGATATATATCAGTTCTGGGAGTTGTTCAGCTCGAGTTATTTGATAGGCTGATCGATTGACATGGATGGTAAGTTCCATGAATCTTCGTTTCTCCTTTATCAGCACAAATCACGCTGAGCATTATTGAGCACTTTCATGATGAAAAGGAAATCATAGTGGGATTCTAAACTATTAACATTAAATGTCTGATTAGATCGGTTAGTAATCGATTCTCTTCAATAGGATCTTGTTCCTGGAATCCGATCAAATTGCACAAGTTTCATGTTATCCATACTGATAACTACAAAATGCCTCTGAAAAGTGCTTGGATTCTCTAGTGTGCTCCCTATATATTAATAAATTATTTTATTGTTTTAACATGTGGTACACTGAAATCTATGGTTACTGATTTATGGATGCACTGACTTAACGGTGATGGTTTATAGAATTGTATCACTGTATAAATTATATCTTGGAGATACATATTTGTAAAATACAGCTCTGATCAAGCTGGAAAATTTTTATGGACCTAATTTGACTCTTAGGTAGGCTCTGTGGCCCTGAGATCATTCTCGGGTAGGCCATGTGGCCCTAAGATGTGTTCTTAGGTAGGCCCCGTGGCCCCGAAGCTTTCTTGGGTAGGCTATCAGGCCCTAAGATGTTCCCTTAGGTTAAATCTTTATATGATGATTTTAAACTACAAGTTTAAAAAGCTCCACTACAGTATGATTTATGAGATTTTTTGAACTATCATTTGATTAGTGTACCTATTATGATTTTATCGTACTGTTGGAACATACTAGACATCTTATTTGATCTCCTGAAAACGTGATACTATGAATGCTTCCTATGAACTGAGATATTCATGGCTTCTATTCGATGAACTACCAGTAGAATCTCATATTATCCCGAAAATTTGTATATGTCTTATTCAATAAGAAAATGATATGGTTTTCCATTTATCGGCATGTCTTGCAGCAGCATCTGGTAGTTCTGTATTACTGAGCTTTCCAAAGCTCACTCTATTACTCACCATTGCAGGTTAAAAGAATTGTATCAGTGCAGCTATCAACATCAATAAGGGAGTTCTTCCGGCGTTGCTTGCAGAGTATGGTACATGTGATTAGGGGGCATGTAATTGTATTTTGTTTTATTTACGAGTCTGAAAATCTGTTTTATTTCTGAATATTGGTAAAGTCTACTTTTTTATTTATAAATGATTTTATGAGTTTACATGTTTCAATAAAAGTTTTAAATTTTCTGAGATTTTTACAGTGGGTCGCTCTGGTGGCCCTAATGTGACACCCCAGATCGGATCGGGCTATCCACATCGGTCTGAGGGGGTTACATGGTGTTTTCCTATTCTTAAATTCCAAAACAAATTTTATTGAAAATATTAAAAACACAGAAAACATTTTTTTTATATTTTCAAATTTTCACTTATTTTTGTTTTCATTTTCTAAAAACTATTTTTCTACTTTTACAACCAAACACATTTTGTTCAATGTTTTTTTATTTTCTAAGAAAATGAAAATGAAAATAACCTAAAATTTTTAAGACGAACCCTTATTTTGTTAAGTACATAGTTTTATTTCGATCAATTAATTGTTAACACATATCATTATCTAATTTATTTAAATAAAATTATTTAAAAATTGCACATCAATGTTTATTAGAATGGAGAAAAAATAATATAAATTTTTAAAAGTTCACTCAAGTATCATCATTAAATATTTAACAATAGATAATTAAAAGAAAAGAAAACAATTTTAATAATATTTTCATTAAAATTTAATTTAAAAAATAAAATAAAAATAATAAATTGGTTACAATTAATGTAATTTATCTTAAAAATATAGTTCTGAATTAGGGCCTAAAACTTTAAAGAAAGCATTAAACAGGCTAATAACAATATTGTTATAGCCGGAATAATGTATTAAACCATTTTAATTTACCCTTTGGTAGATTAACTATCCGTTCTAAGTAGATAATGGAAGACACGTGTAGGTTAAGAAGAAGGACTAGAGCGAAGTGTATTTAAGTTATAATCGGGAGCCTGTAGGGTACGACCTTAGTTGAACAGAATCTGTTCTATAGGCTCGTACCTCTGTGTCCTTGAGTTCTAAGGAGACAGGATTCCTTGTCTGGTTGATGAATGGACGCTGTGTGATCAGAGCGTGACTATTGGCCTGGTGTTTCTAGATGATGAGCTCACCTTGACCGCCGATGATCGTTCTCAGCTAGCTTTGACTAGCTGAGGTGGTCGTGCAGCTGTCTGACAGACTCATTTTTTTTTCTTCCCTAAATTCCTGGAATTCTTACAAGATCTTGTTGTTTGCCAGTGGCTTTATAGAACACTAAACATCTCATTGCTCTGCATGGCACTAAACACTCAGTTTGTTTCTCAAAATATTTAGTGCTAGATTAAATGCTTCAGGTCAATCCAATTAGATTGAACTTTTGTTCTATTATCTGTTTGTATAATTGTTACTCAAATCATATTGATTCAGAAGGGAAAAGGTTGTAGCATTCCAGCTTAGGAGTATGGTTTTCCAGCATAGGAAGGTGGTAAAGCCTATTCATACTTTTTATCTTTCATTTGATGTATCTTTCATTGTAAAAGAAGAAGAAAAGACAAAAAACTAATGTGTTGATGGGAATCAAGGTATATGAGCTTGGGATCTTTATATTTATCTGTAACCTTGTCAAAGGTAATTACTGTATGAAATTTCGACATGAATCGTTCTCAGAAATCTAAATATATATTTTTGGTCTGTTTCCATAGCTTCCGGGTGCCACACAGGGAGGAGATTAAAAAGGCCTATTCATGAAGGCTTGTCATCCAGCTTAAGTAATTCTGGAAAGATGAAGTTGTAAAAAATGATTTATTACATTGATTACACGGGTTATATGTTCTCCATTAATCTCTTTCTAGGCCTACTGGTCAACATTTACTTATAGCAATATAAGTAGCCTCGGGTTAAGTACAATCAATTATTAGAACAATTAATTGAAACATTTGTGTAAAACTAAAATTTGACCTTTACGCTGCTTATAGTAAAAGCTATGGGGTTTACATGATATGATTGATGATGTATTAAACCATGTTCTTTTATTTTACTTTTTTGGTAAATTAACTATCCGCTCCTTTTAAGACCAAACAGATAATGGAAGGCACGTGAGCTTTAATACACTGACTACTTTGTTGGAAGCTGAACAAAAATCCCACATTGCAGAGAAAACACTAAAGAGAAGGGTGTTTAAGTTGGAATTGAGATTTGAGGGGGCTCAACCTTACTTGAACAGGATCTGTTCTATAGGCTCGTACCTCTGTATCCTTGAGATCTAAGGAGAGAGGATTCCAAGTCTGGTTGATGAATTTGAGGCTGTGTGATCAGAGCGTGATTATTGGTCTGGTTGCTCAAATTATTGGCATCGCCTTGACCGCAGAGGATCGTTCTCAGCTTGCCTTGTCTGGCTGGGGTGGTCACGCAGCTGCCTGACAGACTCCCTATCTATATTTCCCCCTTTTCTGGAATTATTACAATATCTTTTGTTTCTCTTGTTTGCCCGAAGCTTTAAAGAACAGTAAACATCTCATTGCTCTGCATGGCATCAAACACCCAGTTTTTGTTTCTCAAATTTTTTAGTGCTAAATCAAACGCCAATTAGATTGAACTTTACCTGCCCGTATAATTATTACTCAAATCATTTTGATGAAAGTATTTGCAAATCATACTTTATATCTTCCATGTGTTGCATCTTTTATTGTTAAAAAAAATTCTATTGTGTTGTTCTTTTGCCAACATCAACGGCACTACGAACCAGTGGCGGATCTAAAATTTAGTAAAAGTAGGAATCCAAAATTTTAATACTCTATTCTAAAAAAATTGGGTACTTAAATTTAACATTTTTTCTCAAAATAATGAGTGTACATCAGCCCCTACTACGAACTCTTGTTGAACACAGAATTTCCTGTTGTTGATGATGGATGAAGATTGGTATGTTGTCTTACCTTTAACTATTCATTAAGTCAGAAGTTGGAGGCTAGAATGTATGGTTTTGTTTGCAAGAAGCACACTATCAGTAATTTGCCTTTCTTTTATGAAGACAAACTGATTATCACTTGAGCTTGAGATTGTTTTGTAGGAAGAATTGAGGAGGCTAATAGGATGGAAATCAATTATATTCCGGTCGTTATTTGTCTTTGGTTTTAGCACTACAAACGACGACTTGACAGCAGCGGGAAATTAACCCATCTTGTACAAGTCCTAGACAAATGCGCGCACATCATTCTTATCATTTCAAAGCTTTTATGAAGTCGACAATGTTGGAATTAAAAAATGTCCTTGAAGAATGATCAAATCATCACCAAGCAAATGTCCTCGTTGAAAAGTTGCCCAAATCATGATCAAATTACTGCAACCTCTGTATCCTTGAGTTCTAAGGAGACAGGATTCCTAGTCTGGTTGACGAAACGAGGCCGTGTGATCAGAGCGTGATTACTGGTCTGGTTGTGCTCTATTCTAGATGTCACCTTGACCGCAGAGGATCGTTCTCAGCTGGCCTTGTCAAGCTGGGGTGGTCACGCAGGCTGTCTGACAGACTTTCCGTCTTTTTTTCTTACAAGATCTGATGTAATCCTCAGCTGGCGCAAGTTTTGGGGATTTTTGTTTCTGGAATGGCCTGAAAGACAATTAGCAAGTTGCTATCTATCGAACACCCAGTTTTTGTTGTCTGCCAGTGGGTTTAAACAACGCCAAAAACAGCTCATTACTTTGAACACCCAGTTTTTGTTTCCCAAAATTTTTAGTGCTGAGTAAAATGCTTCAAGTCAATCCAATTAGATTGAACTTTTACTATAAACTCGTATCTATGTTCCTCTTTCAAGTCAATCCAATGGATCAACTCTAGGAGTTTAAAGCAAGGTTTTATGAGGTGAGAAATGATTGGGGTATTCAATTTGACTGAGAAATGAGGAATTCGAGGTTGAGTGGTAGAGTTCGAGAAATTTGCTTGACGGAATCTGGAATATGGGTTTTGGGTAGGCTCAAGTTGAGTTAGTTGATCCGTTTTTGGGTCGCCTAGTCTGTAATTGGCCCTACGTCGACAGATTTAATTTGGATCGATGCAGACAAAATTTGATGTAGAAAATAAAATTAAAAAAAATCCAAATAAATGTTGGGAGTGACGTGAGTGTAACCAAGGGGGCAAGAATTATCCACAAGCCGACACGTACTCAACTTAGTCTCTAGATTCAATTAGGTTGGTGTAGTGTAGATTATACTAGTGTTCAAAAATTTGGATAACTTGGTTCGTCGATCAGATTAAAAATTATCGGATAATTATATTGAAAATATCTGAATTTTTTGGTCGGACATCCAACCCGTTAATATTTCCAGATTGGGTCTGGGTTAACAAAATTTACTTAACTGGGTACCCGACTCAATATCCAGTATCTTTTTAACTTAGTTATTTTTTTAGTATATTTAATTAAAAATTTAAAACTCTAGGGGACAGCAGTTAGCCAGTGCAGCACGCTGTCCCTCCCACCTATACTCGATAGTGATGGCACAAAGCTCGTGACTCTCCAAGATTGGCAATGGTGCACTCTGCAAGTATTAACTTCCGGTTAAAATGAATGCAAACACCGAACATATAAATGGCTTAACTCATGCAGATTTGAAGAAAAACAAAATGCAACTTCATACTAGCCAAGCAAAGTCGTCAGCACATAATTTGTTCTTATCAGTAACTGCAACGTTAATCGCTTCTCAGAAATGCTATGGTAAAGCAATTTTTTTTCTTTTAAGGCACGAATCTCTGCTCTTTCCCGAATAAACCAGAAGTCAAGGTAAAATAGTTAAGTCTATCCTGTTTCGAACTTTCTAGGCAGAAGCAAGTTCCAGCTCAGCATCAGAGGTACTAAATTGTTATGATTTCGGTTCAACTGTTATCACCGGATGGGAAGACATAAGAGAGGTTCAAAAGAAAATCCTTAAAATGTAACTGGAGGGAGTCCACCTCAAGGATCCAGCTAATGTACTTCACATTATTCACATTATCCACCTCAAGCAACTTTGCATGCAGCAATGGCTCGGCTACTCTCTCCTGTATGTACAAATGCAGTGAAACTCCATAACCCATCCTTAAACATGAGTAGAAGAAGCTCATGGAAGGCCATGCCTAAGCCTGGAGCTTCTTGCACCTCGATGGGTCTAAGGAGAGGTTGTGGCAGACTCAAGGTTACTTCCGTGAATACCGCTTCTACTGATTCTCTTGCTGATGACTATTATGCTCTTCTTGGTCTGGTAATTCTTTTCATATCTCTTCTCATTTTGAGATTAGACTGATTAGTGATTCTTGGTTGTTTCTTTCAAGTTTATTGATTTGTCGGGGGTGGATCTGGTTGTTAAATTACTATTTAATTGAGTACTGATAAAGAAATCTTTGATGTTTACGGTGATGTTGCTTACTGGATATTCATTTTATTTGAAACTTTTAAATCAAATTTTATTTGAAACTTTTAAAAGAACGAAATTCAAATCAAGTCAAGTTATTTGATTTTATGTTTAAATTTAATTATAAATATTTATAATATTATGAGTACTATTTGATTCCAAAATAAAAGGTTTTTTATAACCATATATACAATATACATGTATATGTCTTAATATTTTTTGTATGAAATATATATCTATCATTCAAAGTTGAAGAATTCGATTCGAACTTGAAAATTATCCGCTAATCACTAAAAATTTCAAGTTATTTACATTCTATTTAATAACTCAAATCGAGTTTATGAAATTATAAGTTGAATTGAGTCAAATTTTGCTCACCCTTAATTGCAATAGGTGCTTGGGATCTTTATATTTATCTATAACCATGTCAAAGGTAATTACTATTTGAATTTTTGAAATGATTGGTTCTCAGAAATCTAAATATTTTTGGCTAGCTTCCGGATGCCACACAAGAGGAGATAAAAAAGGCTTATTATGATTGCATGAAGGCTTGTCATCCAGACTTAAGTGGCAATGATCCAGAGACTACAAATTTCTGCATGTTCATCAACGAGGTCTATGGGGTCAGTGTGTTCCCAGAATGACCTTTTATGTATTATGTAAATATTTATCCTTCTACTGCTATAATGCAACTATTTCTTCGCAGATTCTCAGTACAGCGCATGGTTTATGATGAAATTCATGGCTATGCATGGACTGCAATCAATCCTTTCATGGATGATTCCGCCCCCAAAGACTACGTATTTGTCGATGAGTTTAGTTGCATAGGTATGATTCCGCCTCAAGTGTCTTTTACCATTCCTCAGTACATAGAATGATAATACTCCAACCACTAAAGGTCTAAGATCTCTAAACTGACACCCTTATGAGCTAATTTTTCCTTCACATGCTGCAAAAACTGTGCCAATGTCACCTGCGATGTGTTTAGAATCGAGGCAGACTTTGGACGAGCCAGAGTTCATAGTCAGTTTGGGAATCCTGAATTAGTGCAACACGCAATAGACGGGGGGTATTTTCTTCTGGATCTAATAATGTCTTTGGGTCATCCACTTTCCGTCAAGTATGCTAAATATCATCACCCGGATAAGACTGCCGTGTGCCTTTTATCGCACCTGCTTTATCTTGTGTTATTCAGCCCAGTTTATTGCATTCATTTGACTTCTGCAGCACAGTTATCGTTGCTTGAAGATGAAATGACCAGGGTGGGCAGAACTAGAAATTTCAAATTACTATGTCATAATTTCAAATTATAAAATCGATATTAGGAGTGACCAAAACTCGATTCGACCAAAAAATCAATCTTTTTGACTCGATTCGACTCAATTTGACTCAAATTAAATTCGAGTCATAATTTTATAAACTCAGCTCGATTAAAAAATAATAATTTTGAGTCAAGTTATAAAACAAAACTAGAATAATTGGAATAATAACTCGAATAACTATTTTTTTTAATAATTAGTAGATTGATTTTTGAGTTTGAGTCGAATCCTTTGACTTTGTATAATATATGTATATTACACATGAAATAAATATGAAGAAATATATATGTACTGTATATAGTTATAGAAAAATGTTTAAATTGAAATAAAATAGTACCACATAAATTTTTACAATTAAATTTAAACAAAAACTCAAATAACTCGACTCAATAAAAGTATAAATAAAGTTTGATTTATAAAATAGGATTCTTCGACTCAAATAACTCAAACTTTTTTAATTCTACTCAATTGAATGCTCTCCCCTAATTGGCATATTATGAGAAATTTGAGTTTTGATTTTTTTATTATTAAATTTTACATAATATATATATATATATATATATATTTAAAAAAAGTGAGATTAATTTATTTTTTTATGGTGTCAAAAAAATTTAAATGGTGTCATTTTCATTTTTATTATATATATATATATAATCTATATAGAAAATTTATTTAAAAAATTTTGGGTTGACACCCCCTCATAACATACTGGCTCCGCCAGTGGTCCAGGGTTGAAAGAGTTAATGTAAGTAAGAAACACAGTCACTCTATGGTTCTTTTCTCCTACGATAATTTACCTTGATAAACTATGAGCAGTTTAGATGGCATCTGAGTTTAGGAACCTCAAAATGAATAAAAGATCAAATAATACTCAAACTGATGATCAACTGTGGGTTTAGGCACTGACAAACATCTTTTACATTGAAACCTCGAAAAAAGAATGAAGTGTTAGTCTCTCAGTGATGCAATTCATTAATCTATATATTCAAGCTAGTTGTCTTGATTCCTAGAAGTTAAAGCTTTTCGAATGGATGTTCAGGTAGCATTGATGCTTTCAGGAATGGGATCTTCATCAAATGTATTCAGAATGGTAAAACCAGCACTCATCTGCTGACGGCATTTGAATTTCTGGGTCAACACTTTCTTAGACTATCTATCGACCTCTAATGGTTTGGCAGGCAAGTTCTCGATGGGAAAAGAGACGGGCAAAAATTTTGGTAGGAATCTCACTGTTACAATATCCTCAAATACATCCGCTTGTTTTTATTTTATTTATGTGAAGTAGCTTTCAAATGTAAATCTAAGAAATAGTGATTGGAACTTTTCTTTCTCGTTCTTCTTTATCAGGAACAACCTAAAGTAAGGATGATGCAGCAGAAAGATGGTGGTAAAACCGATTCATACTGGACCAACCTTTGGGGCAAGCCTAAAGAATACAATAAATCAGGTATGTGCAACACAAGTCATCCCTCGCTTTCCAGTCACTTTGGTAGACATTTCTAGGTATCTTCATATTTTAGGTTTTTTAGCAATATTTCGTGGTCTTAGAAATAAATATAGGATGAAATGTTGTTTGCAGAGGAGGAAGTGAAAGAGAAGGCAAGAAGGGCTGCAACAGCTGCAATAAGATGGAGGGAGTATTCAAGAAGGGGTGTGGATTGTTGGAAATAAAACACTCACACAAACAATTTTTATTGAAACTCAAACAAATATTACAAGAGCACTCTCACTCAAAAACAAGAACTACAACTCACTCTTATAAGACTTTGTTTCTTCACTCACTTAGAAGCTCTTAATTTTTCTTGATGCTTAAACTAAAAATGGGGAGGGGTATTTATACTATTTAAGAACAATCCTACACCACACAAATAAACCATTAAAAATTAGGCATGCCTAACTCTCACCTAACTAAATTGATGTAAACAATGACATATTTACTTAAATGATGTAAGCAATGACATCTTTACTTAAATGATGTAAGCAATGACATCAATTTAGTTTGGGCTTGGGTTTAGGCTCCCATAATGGATCAAGTTTATGATCCACACCCCCCGTCAGCTTGATCTTGTGACTTCACGTATTCAACTTCCACATCTTTTCTTGCAACACACTCCCTTATATAGTGGTAGCGAATATCAATGTGCTTGCTTCGATCATGGAATACTGGATTCTTTGCTAAAGCAATGGCTGACTTGTTGTCGACACAAACCTTGGTAGTTTTTTTCATGTATCAAACCTATCTCATTCAATAGATTTCTAAGCCAAATTGCATGACAAACGCATGAGGTAGCAGCAACATATTCCGCTTCACAAGTGGACAATGTGACAAACGGTTGTTTCTTTGACATCCATGTGAAAACAATATCTCCCATGAAAAATGCGAATCCAGTAGTGCTGTTTCGATTATCTATGTCTCCACCCCAATCACTGTCGCTATATCCAACAAGCTTGTAATCATTAGAAACTGAATAGAACAAGCCAAAGTCAATTGTATGTTTCAGATAGCGAAGAATTCTCTTTGCGGCTTTAAAATGGGTGGTTGTTGGAGATTCCATGTAGCGACTAACTAATCCAACTCCGTGAAGAATATCGGGCCTCGTGCAAGTTAGATAACGTAGACTTCCCACCAAACTTTTGAAGAATGTTGGATATACACTTTCGCCTTCTTCATGTTTGGACATCTTGATCCCGTATTTTATCGGTGTGCTTATTGGCTTACAGTTCTTCATCTTGAACTTCTTCAGTATCTCCTTTGCATAGCTTTACTGTGAAATGAAAATTCCATCCTTTTGTTGCTTAACTTCAATGCCAAGGTAGTACGCCATGAGCCCCATGTTTGTTATCTCGAATTCTTTCATCATCACATCCTTGAATTCATTAAACATGCTTGGGTTGCTTCCGGTGAAGATCAAATCGTCCACGTAGAGGCACACGATCAAGATATCTCCATCTTTGATCTTGATATATAGAGCGTGCTCGTAGGGACATTTGTTGAAGTCATTCTCTTGGAAATACTTGTCGATTCGGCTATTCCATGCCCTTAGTGCTTGTTTTAGCCCGTAAAGAGCCTTCTTCAACTTCAACACCTTGTCTTCGTGCCCTTTGACTTCGTAGTCTGATGGTTGCTGAATGTAAACTTCTTCTTCAAGAACTTCATTTAGGAAGGAAGACTTTACATTCATCTGCTGTATCTTCCACTTGTTTTGAGCTGCCAAAGAAATGATTAGTCTGATAGTCTCTAATCGAGCAACAGGAGCAAATACCTCATCATAGTCAATTCCAGCCTTTTGACTATAACCTTTAGAAACTAGCCTCGCTTTGTGCCTTTCAATCTCTCCTTTGGCGTTTTTCTTTGTTTTGTACACCCATTTGAAACCTATCACCTTATGTCCCTTGGGAAGTGAGGTAAGTTCCCATGTGTCATTATTCTCGATGGCTTTGATTTCTTCGTCCATCGCACCTCTCCATTTCTTTTCTTGTACTGCTTCTTGAAAACTCACTGGTTCACAATCGGCAAACAAACAAAATAATGTAAGATTATCTTGTCGTTCAGTTACCTCATAGAGATCTCTAAGTCTTCTTGTACATTGCACAACTCTTTCACTTTGACTCCTACTTGATGATGACGAAGGTGATGAGTCTCCTTGAGTGGTTGATGTTGGTGAAGTGGGTGGAGTTTCAAGCTCTTGTTGAGGTTCACCTAGTTGTTCCCTCATTGTTTGCTCATCTTCTTCAAACTGAGGAAAGAAAATGAAGTCATCTGCATGAGAGTTAAAATTTCATTCTCCTCCTTCGTTGAATACTACATCTCGATTAATCACAATCTTCTTATTGTCTGGATTGTACAGCTTGTAGCCCTTCGAATTAGCATCATAGCCGATGAAGATAAAACTCTCCCTTTTATCATCAAGCTTCATTATTCTCTCGTCTGGTACGTGAACATGGGCTATACTTCCAAAGGTTCTCAAGTGGGAAATGCCAGGCTTTCTTTCACTCCATGCCTCTTGAGGTATATTTCCCCATAAACTTCTTGTTGGAGATCGGTTTGACAAGTAAACTGCACACGATACTGCTTCCGCCCAAAATTCCTTGGGTAGTTTCTTACTTTTGAGCATGCTTTGTGCCATGTCGAGGATTGTTCTATTCTTTCTTTCTGCCATACCATTTTACTGGGGGATCTAGGAACTGTCATTGGTCGACGAATTCCATTTGCTTCACAAAACTCTTGAAACTCCCTGGAAGTAAATTCTCCACCTCGGTCGGATCTCATGGCTTTGATCTTTCTACCGCTTTCTCATTCCATTGTTGCCTTGAACTTCTTGAAGACTTCGAAAACTTTTGACTTCTGTTTCAAGAAATATACCCAGGTTTTTCTTGAAAAATCATCAATGAAGAGAAGAAAATAGTTACTGTTACCGAGAGAGCTCGGCTTGATCGATCCACACACATCGGTATGGATGAGTTCGAGTGGCTTCTTGGCTCTTGTCTCTGACTCCTTTGGAAAGCTTTTCCTGAATTGTTTCCCGACTAGACACCCTTCACAAAGCTGGTCATGATGGTTGATGCGAGGTAGTCCCTTCACCATCTCCTTAGATAGCAGCTCTAGACCTCCAAAATTGAGATCCCCAAATCGAAGATGCCAAAGCCATGATGTATCTTTGTAGCAAGCTTTCAGGCACTTTGTAACATCATTTTGTATGTTGATCACGAACATTCTATTCTTTGACATCGACACTTTAGCAATGAAGTTATTCTTATCAGCTTTTATAGAAAGATTATAATTATTCATATGAATATCATAACATTTCTCTACCAGTTGCCTTAAACTTAATATGTTACTTTTCATATTGGGCACATAGTAGACATTTGAAATAAATTGATGTCTCCCATCTTTCAAACGGATAAGGATGTTACCTCTCTCTTTCACTGCTATTGTGGAATCATCTCGAAACGAAACATTTCCGCTTACTGACTCGTCTAGCTCCACGAACATGTCTTTCCTTCCGCACATGTGATTACTTGCACCACTGTCAAGATACCAGGAATTTGCTTGGCCACCATCAGTTTCGTTTCGTGCCAGAAGAAGAGTTTCTTTACCATCTGTCTTTTCCTCCACGTAGTTGGTCTTCTCCTCAATTTTGTTATTAGGAGCTCTACATTCTGAAGCATAATGCCCAAACTTCTGACAATTATAACATCGAACTTGAGATTTGTCATACTTTGAGTTCGGATTGATTCTTCCACGGCCTCTTGTTGAGCTTTCTCCTTTCTCATAGCTGTTGTTGGAATTGTTATTGTTGTAATTCCAGCCTCGTCCACGACCTCGACTTCCACCTCGTCCATGGCCTCTACCTAGGCCACGTTGGTTTCTATCATTGCGTTGGCTTTCATGCATATCCTTGAGTTGCAGCTTGAGGAGTTGCTCAGTAAACTCATGCTTCTTCTTATGTTTCTCTTCATATGCTTGCAATGATCCTTGGAGTTGCTCGATCGTCATTTCTTCCAAGTCTTTAGTTTCTTCAATCATCACGACGACGTGCTCAAATTTGGGATCCAACGAACGGAGTATCTTCTCTATTATACTCACATCTTCTAACTTTTCACCATTTCTTTTTAATTGATTAGAAACAACTACTACTCTTGGGAAATAATCTGAAATAGACTCAGATGCTTTCATGTTTAAGGATTCGAATTCACCTCTTAATGTTTAGAGACGAACCTTCTTCACTTGCTCGGATCCTTTGTAAGAGGTTTGCAGCTTCTCACACGCTTCCTTGCTAGAGCTTGCACTTGAAATATTTTCAAAACCATCATCATCTAATGTTTGATAGATGAGGTATAGAGCCTTTTTGTCTCTCTTTCTTGAATCCTTCAAAGTTGTCTTTTGATCCGGTGTAAGAGTAGCAAAAGCATCATCATCCGCAGGCTCGTTATAGCATTTCTCTATGATATCCCACACATCTTGTGATCCAAGAAGTTCCTTTATTTTGATACTCCAATAGTTGTCTTTTGATCCGGTGTAAGAGTAGCAAAAGCATCATCATCCGCAGGCTCGTTATAGCATTTCTCTATGATATCCCACACATCTTGTGATCCAAGAAGTTCCTTTATTTTGATACTCCAATTGTCGTAGTTGTTGTTGTTGAGTGTCGGAACTTGGAATGGTGCCATTCCATTTGTCATATTCCTCAATATAATGAGAATTTGCAAAATCCGATTGCACGGATGAATCCAGAACGCCAAAAAAAAACCTTGGGAGGGACTTGGATAACTCGATCAAGGGGCTCCAACTCGGTGAGTCAAACTCGATTTTTTGGCAGCAGTCTTTCGGCGGTGCGTGGCGGTGCGTCAGAACTCAGATTGAGAAAATTCTGGCGGCGGCGGATTCCTCTCGTCGAGACCTTCGATCTTTCCAACTCACTCTGATGCCACTTTGTTGGAAATAAAACAATCACACAAACAACTTTTATTGAAATTCAAACAAATATTACAAGAGCACTCTCACTCAAAAACAAGAACTACAACTCACTCTTATAAGACTTTGCTTCTTCACTCACTTAGAAGCTCTTAATTTTTCTTGATGCTTAAACTAAAAATGGGGAGGGGTATTTATACTACTTAAGAACAATCCTACATCACACAAATAAACCATTAAAAATTAGGCATTGCCTAACTCTCACCTAACTAAATTGATGTAAGCAATGATATATTTACTTAAATGATGTAAACAATGACATCTTTACTTAAATGATGTAATCAATGATATCAATTTAGTTTGGATTTGGGTTTAAGCTTCCATAATGGATCAAGTTTATGATCCAACATGGATAAGGCTCCCACTATTAAACTTCCAGAGGCTCTCTCCAACAAAGATAATTAATTTAAACCACCACTAATCTATTTTTACCATTCCTAAAGCTTAAAAATCAATTTGTTTACTGCCTGCCATGCACTAGATTTCCATTGTATATAAACATAATGAATATGGAAAAAGAAAATGGTGTATTGGACGCGATGCAAGCTTGTGCCTTGTTCTAATACTTCTATTTCTATTATATTTTATTTGAATTTTCAGATTTTTAAATGTGATTTAAAAAAAATCAGTAAACTCAATATTGTATTCACCATGCAGATAAATTCATAGTACTTCAATATCCTATACTAGCAATGCACTCTGCCAACAACTCAACCTATGAAGAAATTATTGCACAAATTCAACATCCAAAACCCAATCCCTTCATTTGTTTTGGCTTGAATTCTGACAGATTTTAGGTCAACAATGAATTAACATATAACAAAGTAGATCATAAATAGTAGTAACAAATAAGCTCAAGGGAAGTAAAGTAAACCTGGAGCAGGAACTAAAAACATGCCATTAGCTTGTGTGACATGAACGGTGAGCTCAATCTACTTGCTCGAGGTTGATGATAAATAAAAGTTCCAAAAAATGGATCCCGTTGACATGAAAGCAACACGGGCTTGAAGAGGGACCACCCTGTCAACCACCAAACAGATTGCACAAGCATGTTATTGTAATCCCCATCATTTAATAAGTAGTTATTATTCTTCGGCAATGAGCACCATCGGGTTTGCACCAAAGAAATATTTTCGAATAGGGAATGTCACAATATGATCTAAAAGGCAACTGTAAACTGAAACAGCGTAAGAAATGGATGAATTAAGAATTTTTCTTTTTTGAGCTTCAACATTGGAGTTGTTGAAGTACTGCCATGATTAAGTGAAACGAAAATGAATAGATGACACAAACAAAGAAAGGCTTTTACCAAAAATTTAACAAGCTGATGGGGATCCAAAACCGAAATCCTGCATAAGATTTAAATACAAACATCTATCATATTACGCCAAACCTAGGTATCTTTATTGGCCAATATGCAAATTGCTTCGATTGAGGCTTTTACCATAAAACAGTGTCGAGAGCATCCTTCTGATATTTATTAGGGAGCTCTGAGAGCTTTCCTAGCCATAAACTGTTCCGGGCAAAGACAACAGCAATCACACTAGGACCAAGCACTATTTGGTTTAGTAAAACCTGCAAGAACCAAAAACTTTTAAGTGTTGTTCTAACAAAATTATTCACTTATTTTCCAACCTTTAAACTCATTGCACTATGGAAGCCGAAAGAATGAAAATGAAAACAACTTTACCTTCAACATTATATTTTGCGCTGTCTGGTGTCGCAAACAGTGATTCAGGTACTTGTACTATGCGAATGAACCAGTACCATAAAAAAGAAATCCATATGTAGTCATCCTCAAGGAACGGAGCCAATCATGGTGTGAAATGACACTTGACATGATATCCTAAGATGGAAATTTGGTTAAACTACAAATTACAACAGTAATGCGCTGAAATACTCTTGTCAATACAATAAAAAGCATCCTACCAAGATAGCCAAGTCTTGTCAAAACTAAAAGAATATATACCCACTATTTTATATACACATAAAAGACAAAGAACATGATCCATGATAAATGAAACCAATATTCGCAGTGTCCTTTCAGCCACCACTGTCCACCCACCAGAAAGGGAAAATGGGACTGTAGGGTGTTACATGAATATGCAGTCCAAGGCTGCAGACCTAAGTTCCTAGTTGTTTGGAGTAAAGCTAGATAGATCCAACTAAAGACCATATCCACAAGGATATGCTAATACCTCAAGCCACATGCAGTGTTTTTATAGGCTGTGTTCTCTCACGAAGGTGGACACAGGGCAGCTAATGATTAGGGTTTATTGTAATTTTATGATCTGATTCATTGAGGAAAAATGAATAAATCAAGTAAAAAGAGGAGAAGAAAAGAACTTTCCAAGCTTCATTACTTGGGGCTCCTTAGGAGTAACATCAAACGCTGTTGTATCATACAATCACGATGAACTATACAGCTAGAAATTAGTTGACAATAATATCTTAATAGTAAAGTATGTCAGTTTAAAAACACTCCCAGGATCCCTACTCCATTAAGAATTTCAACGAATACTTGAAGATAACTTTAGAGTAAAAACAAAGTAGCATTAAGAAAACTCAATATGCAATTTCCAGCAATTAAAAAAGGTAATAAAAATTCCAAACTCCTAAAATGCCAAGAAAGAAGAGATTAATATAAGAACCTACAAGCTCAACTTAAAGAAATGTAAATGCATTACTTAAAATGAACTACTGTAAGGTAAGTGCCAAATTAAGACTTGGGTGTTAGAACCAGCCATAGCACGCTGCATGCTATCTAAAGACCTTCAGGCTGCTGCAAGGAGGCAGCATACTCCCTCACCAACTTTGCACTGATAACCAATCAACTCCCTAAAGAAGAGATTAATATAAGAACCTACAAGCTCAACTTAAAGAAATATAAATGCATTACTTAAAATGAACTACTGTAAGGTAAGTGCCAAATTAAGACTTGGGTGTTAGAACCAGCCATAGCACGCTGCATGCTATCTAAAGACCTTCAGGCTGCTGCAAGGAGGCAGCATACTCCCTCACCAACTTTGCACTGATAACCAATCAACTCCCTAAACCTCTTCATTACATATCATTTGGTTGATATATTTTACCGGTCAGCACAGATATGGATGAGAAACCAGGCAATTCAATAAAATTTGCCGACACTTTTTTAAAAAAATTGGGAATGTTTAGAAGTTCAATACAACTGAAATTTTGACTTCCCAATATTCCAAATGTTGATTGAGACCAAGCAATGTAACATCCCAAGTTACGGTTTAACTAAATCGTAAATTTTCAGAATTTGGTGATTAAAGTATAATAGTTGAATAGTTAAATGATTTATTTGGGGATATTTCCTGAAAGTTTTTAGTGATTATCAAAGGAATTAAAGGGCAAAATGGTCATTTGTCATGAAAGATATTTTTTCCCTTTAAGAAGAGATAAACACGTTGGGGGGAAAAGTATTTGGAAAACTCTTTTTCTTCTTGCTTTCTTCTTCACCGTGAACCCCCAAAGGCAAAGGTGAGTTTCTTTGTTAGTTAATTATTTGTTGATTTTATGGTTGAGTTTTGATCATTAGATGATAACTACGCTCAAGAAAATCTTAAGTTATCTTAAAATCAAAAGATGAAGTTACGAAAGATTAAAGAGAAGGAGTTTCTAAATGAAATCTTGAAATAGAGTTGATAAGTTGAATTTGAAGTTGAATTTGACTTGTCATCTATGAGAATAAGAAGTTAGAATTAAGTTTGGATAACATGAAAAAATTTGGTATGATTATTGATTTCTATATGGAGAATAGAATTTTGAGATTTAAGATGAAATAAATGGATATAAATTAGTTTAAGTATGTATATTTGAGTTAAGAATAGAAAAGTGAATGAAACATGAAGAATTGAAGTGGAAATGGTGAATTGAAGTGGAAATGGTGAATTTTCGTGCAATGAACAGTGATTTCTGGGCTTGAACGAAAATTCCGGATTATGCAGGGGGAACAGATACCCACTGGGGGTATCGATTCCCCCCTAAAGAAAAAAAAGGAATTTTGGTTCATTAAACCGGCTTAAGTTATTAACATCAAGTTTAAGGTTTAGGCTTTTGATAATTGTTTTGAAATATTATATTTATGTAGATATTGAATCTAAACAAGTTCTAGAACAATCAAAGAATTAGGATCGAATCAAAGCAAGGTTAAGGTGAGTGCAATTTAATTTGTGCTTATAAAACGAACATTGGCTTGCGATGAGCCAGTGACGGAGTTATTATGGTAAGAAGTAACTCTTAAAATGTTATTGTATGTGACATGAGTTACATGATTATATGTATATATGTGATATATATATATATATATATATATATGCTTACATAAGAACATGAGAAATAAAATAAGTTATGTGATAAGGATATAGAGAATGAAATTAATGACATGGAATGTGTGTATGCTTGATTATATTAGTGGATATGTTATTGTAAGTGCTAAGTGGCTTATGTAAATAAATGAAAAGGTGAGATAAAATAAGTAGTACTTATTGATAAGGTAAAAGGAGATTATATGAATAGATACTATTGATAGGGCACATAAGACTATATGTCTATCCTTTAATGTGATAAAGTGAAACAAGTCAAATGATATTGAAGTATGTGAATATAGTATATGTGATAAGTGATGTATGTGAATCATATGATAACAAAAGATGACAATGATTTACATGTCATATGAACACAAGAGAAATGTTATAAGCTAAGTGACATATGATTATGAAATCATATGAAAAGTGAAATGTGCATGTGAATATGTGAAATGATATAAATGATATTGCCCATGTTATGTGATATGAGAGCTAGTGGTATAGTTGGCATGCCAAGAGTCGAGGGTTACAATGGTCCTACGGGACATAGTGGTCCTTCGAGACAATACAGTGATCCTACGAGACATGGTGGTCCTTCGGGACAAATTTCAGTGCCCCTAGTGAGAATTTTACGAGCTGTGGTGACAACATTTGTGCACAACCTCAATGCACTCACATATCCTTAGTTCTCACAAGTGTACCATGGGCTAATTAAAGAGATAACACAAATATAATATATGTGATGTATATGCTATTGATGATATGAAATGTTACAGGAACTATATGATGATATGTATATTGCTTGGTTAAGAATGTTAGATAAAAGAGCATATGACTAAGAGATTAAGGATAATGCTAAGAAGGTAAATGATTATATATGTTTCTATATGATATGATAGTATTAATTATTTATGCATTGATATGAGTAGAGTAATGTTACATGTTTTTATGCCTCACTAAGGCATTGACTTAGCGTGTGATGGTTTCACACGTAGGTTTGAAAAGCGAAAAGAGAAGTAAAGAGGAACAAGACAGGTCAATTCTCCTTACCGAAGATCAGATCAGAAATGTAGATCGAATTACATGTATTTTGTTAGAAAGAATTTAGTTGGCATGTAAACAATTAAAAAGATGTGTATTGAATCCGCTCTGATCAAGTTTTGAAATGTTTTAAACATATATATGTAAATGGTAAATGTATAATGATGAACGTTTTAAATTTTATAAGTTTTATACATGTTTTACGAAAGTACTGTAGCAGGATATCAGTTCCCTGTAGCAGGGGAATTGGTTCCCCTATGACAAACTGAAAAATTTTAACATTCGAATACTGTAGTAGGGTACTGTTCATACCGTATTTTACTGTTTATAAATATGTTTTTGTCTCAAAATTTTATAACAAATACAATTCAACAATATATGATCGTATTTTTTTAATATAAGTTTAAATGTTCTGTTATTTTGCAAGAGTAAAGGTTTTGAAATGACAATGTGACATCTCGGACTCGTATCCGGGTCGGATACGGGTTGGGGTGTTACAAGCAATACATTCCAGATTTTTCTTGGTAACCAATAGAGGTGGGTATACGAGCTACCCGTCCGTTTAGCCCTTGAGTTTTGACGGTGCGGGCTTAAACGGAGCGGTTTAAAAAGCCTTCATGCATAAACGGTTTTGAATTTTAAAGCACGCGGCCCGTCCATTTAACTCGCGGGTTAAACGAGCTTACTCGCGACCCATTTAAAAAAAATTAAATGCTTTAAATGCAATAAAAAAATAATGTTCTAACTTGCTACACCTTTAAAAATGATCCAATAACTTGAAAAGGAATGTAGCACCATAAAAAAATATTTAAATTTTATTTTAAATAGCCAGAAATGATTATAAAATAACATTTTTTTTTAATTTTTTAATCATTAATATATATATAATATAACTATATAATTACTTAAACTCAAATTAAAAAAACAATATTCACTTATATCACCAAATTGAAAAACAAATAAAACAATAACCACACTATACTTTTATAAAACACAATTATTCAATTTTTCTTTTACTTTTCTTTCTTATTTTTAATCCAAATATTGCGTGTCATGTGATATATTATTAGAATATCACGTAACTTTTTATAATTAAAGAACGAAATTGATAACATACTTAATGGAAAAATAAAGGTCAAAATTAAATAAAAAAATATTTAAATACCAAAATAATAATGATGTAAATTTTATAAGACTAAAATACTATATAAATCTTTTAATTTTTATTTTTTAAAATGAAAAATAATTTGATATATTGTAAATAAAAAAATATCAAGCAGCGGTAGAATTATGACAAATGCCCTAATAAAATTTAAGAACTACAATGGTTATAAGTAACATCATATTTATAGGTAATTTATTTTTTTTCTATAAAATTCTTTAAGTTTATTTTATCTAAAATTTTATAAATTTTAAATTAAGTGGGCTTTTGCGGGCTACCCGCAGTTATACCCATTAAACCCGCGGGTTTAACGGTCCGGGCTAAAAACCCGCAATTTAAACGAGCTTCAGGTTTTTATATCCAAAACCCGTACAGATCACGGGTTAAACAGATAATCCGCGGGCTTTAGCCTATATACCCACCTCTAATAACCAAACAGATCAAAACTTTTAATTTAAGAAAAGATGATTAATAACATAAGCAATCACAAAGACACAATAACATTAAATGCAAAATATGCTGGTCCAAACAATGGGGAAGCATCAACATAAATAAACAGATGCGCGAGGGCCATAATTTCCCAAATTTTAGAGACTACAACGTCCTAAACTCCATAAAAATAATCCCAACAACTCAAATTATTCCATCTTTCTCATCATCCAAACAAAATGAAATTGCTTTAAAAATATAAAACAAATAACTGAAGCATTAAAATTGATAATACTACCTACTTGTATCACTGGAATCAGAAACGGAATGTTTTCGTTTTCTCCAGCGGTCATTGAGTTGAGCAATAGTGTTGCCCGTGAGAGCGAGTGAAGCAGCCGTCAATCCGTCACAGCTTGCTTCAACGGGAAACGGCGACCCCCACCGCCAGTTGGTTCCACCGTTGAGTCCAAGGACTTCGAATCTGAAGGAGACGGCCTTTTTGGTCTTCTTATATCTGGAAGTTTCCAAGCCCAAAACGCGCCATTGCCACCCAGTGCTTCCATTTTTACCAAGTATCAGTTCCAGAAATTTGGGGGAAAATGAAAACCATCCAATTGTCTACTACTACCATTACAACTTAGTAACAAGGGTAAAGTACACTTTTAGTCCGTGAACATTTATGTTTCTTACATTTTGGATAGAAAACTTTTAAAAGTTGGAATCCAATCCCTGAATAAAGCTTGGTAATCATATTTGAAACAATTCTGAATAAGACTCGCGGTTACGTCACCGAATGCTTTGTTTGTTACTAGTTCTTTTTCCTCTTCTTTGGACTAAGTTCTTTAAGCAAATCTATTGATTTCTCCTGGTAAAATTATAATTTAACGCACATTGTGAATCGGTTTATGCTCTTTGGTTTTATATTTAGGTTAGTCTTCTCTTCTTCATTTGTTGGTAATTAGCTGTTTATACTAGTTACTTAGCTTTCAAAGTTGATCTTTAGTGCTCGATGAACATTTGAACTAAAACTTACCCACTGTTTTAATTCCTTAATCTAACCTGAAAACGCTTCAACTTCTTTAGTTTATGCCTAATGATTTATAAGGAGATCAGCATTAAAGCAGTGTCTTCTTAATAGAAGTAATTTTACTAGTTATGTTGAACTGCTAAAGACAATCGATTTTCATCCTTACATGCGAATGGAGTATCAACAGGGTGGACAGGCAAGTCGTAGATTATTGTAATTATGATATTGAAATTTGTGCTTTTAGACTGTTGGATAGGAGGAGTCCATGGCTATTCCACAAAGACCTTCTTTAGCCTTTATGTTTCTCTGCATCATGATATATCCTTCTTCTCCCCATCTTGTGCCCCAGGAGTTCTTGATGAGCCAATAATCAGTACCATCTTCAGATGTACCATATCCAACGGCTGTAACACCATGGTCTAGATCGGTTCCGCAATCTCCTGTGAAAATTCCGCTAGAGTAGAATTGAAAGTCGTAACCTCCGGCATCGATGGACACGGACACTGGTTGGTTTGCAACGGCCTTCTGTAATGCCTGCTCATTATTTGCAGGAACAACCTCGTAGCCGGTAATTGTAGCTGCATGGGAAGCCTCTTCTGATTTGTCGCAGGTTCCGTCGTCGCCCTTGTAAGGGTAAGTGGCTTCAGATGCGATGCCGTGATTGCTGATTATGAACTTAAATGCATCTTCCATTTCACCACCTTCACATCCCTGATCCACACCTTTATCACAATCAACCAGTTCTTGCTCAGACAAGGAAATTAGTTGTCCTGTAGTTAGTTTGTGAATTCCTTCGGTTGCCGCGATAGCCGAAAATGCCCAGCAGCTACCTGTGTTTTGAAATGAGTTTATCAAACTAAGATTTATGGTTATGCTCGAACAGTTGCATATTGCTTACCGCATTGTGCTTGGTCCTTGATGGGCGTCACGGCTCCCTTTTTCCTCCAGTCTATGCTAGCAGGCAATCTTGTGACATTCTGGTACCTAAATGATGTCTGTTTTCTTGTTGTTAGTCCCTGTGGCATTATGTATCCATTCCTGTATGCCCGAAACTCATCGTTGGTTTGATCCGCAAACTCGTTAATGCTTAGCTTGTAAGAGCGGTCACCAACGGCATTAAACGACTCTATAAACTGCACATTGCTTTTGAAAATCTTGAATCGTGTCTCCTTCTCTGCATCGTTCTTATAGACTCGCCTGTATTCAGCCATCCATTGCTTGTGCCTCTCGGACAAGGATGCCTCGGGTAGGCTACGACACATGATGTGTGGGATGCAAACAACTATTACAAGGAAGAATAGCATGCTACAAGATCTTGGGAAAACCATTGGCAATTGTTTGTTTGTTTCAGATGCATAGGAATTATTGTAAGCTTTTCCTTATATAGAGAACCAAAAACATGTTTGTCTGAATATTTGCCATTTCCGGTACACTGAATAGGAATTGGAATTTTGGATTAATATGTAGTGTTCCGTGCAAGCTGGTTTCTGTCTGTCACTGTAGCTCTTGTATTTTGTTGTACGATTGCGGGATCTCTAATTTGGCCTTTTAGGACACAAAACAAGACATTGGATTGGTCAGACGTTTTACATTTAATGTTACCAGAATTTACATGTTACAGTAAACTCATGCTCAATACGGTAAATTATTGAAATTGTAAAGCAACAAAAATAATACTAAATTCAGTAGAAATGACAAAATCAAAGGGTACAATGGTGGGAGTTTCGAGTGAACTGTAATGGAGCCTGTGACATTGGAGAAATGGATTGTTGGTCAACTGATCATTGTGCAATGACTATTAGAGGTAACCTTGGATTGTCGTGTGAATTATAGGTATTATAATACATAGGATAAACTATTTTTAATAATAGGAGACAATTATAACATAATTGAAATGGAAGTTTGCGATGACAATGACATGGTGCATAGTGCATACCAGGATACGAATGATAAGGAATTTGTTTGGAGGGACGAAATTGAAGAACCATGGATGATTTCTTCACCAAGAGATAACGTGATAACATACTCCCACCCCACGCCCCATAATAAAGTTTCATATTTTGATCACAAGAATTTAAAAGGTTCAAAATTAATGTGCTATCTTTTCCTTCTATCTTTGTTTTCCAATTTGCTTCATTAACTGAAAATTGGATAAATTATCAATTAGGTACCTAAAAGAAATAACAAATTCTAAGGTTTTACAATCACTACAACAAAATATGTATATAGTAGAATTTGTTGCGGCGTTTTTAAAGCAAACGCCACTACATTTATACATTTTACGATGTTTAACATCGTTAAAACTTATATTTTAGTGGCGTTTATTTGACAAAAATCGTTACAAATAAGTACTTTAATGACATTTTTAAATAAACGCCGCCACAGAATTATTCTTTAACTTTTTTAAACAAATGCCGCAATAAGCACACTGGAATCCTCTCGATGTTAAAAGATCTAACCTTTTTTTGAGCAAAGTATCTTCTTCCTCAGTTTCTTCACTTAGTTTCACTTCCTCTAATGATGATGCTGACAAGGCAAAGCTCGCTCAGGTACTCCCTCACTCTCCTTATATTAATTTCAGATTCACTCTTTCTTAACTGATTCAAGAATTTTATTTGGGTTTCACTTATTTGGTGCTGAAGTTTCAACTTCATCGACTTGGGTCTCTATGGTTTCGCTTGGTTACTCTTTTTTCTGATTCTGGGTAATTAAAAAATATTGGAAAAAGAAAGAGAAATGAAACCAGTTAGCTGCATTGTTCTTGTAATCAGTATCACCAAAACCGAGAAAACAGCTACAAACATCAAAAGTAAGAGAACGCTGCTGGCTAATTTTGGATTGTGTAGTGGGGTTTTGGTCTTAATGTACTGTAAATGAAGGGTTTCGTTTTTGGCTTCGTTCTGTTTGTTTTAAGAATGAGTTAGGATAAGGGTTTTGAATGGAAATTTTGCAGGTTGCGAAGAGGTTGGAGACGACGGCGAGGCACTTTAAGCGACTGGGGAATTTAGGGTTTTGGGGACAACTAGTTTTCACGGTGGTGTCAGCTGTGATACTTTCGTTTTCACTTTTAAGTTGTGGTCACTGGGAAGATTGCATCACCTGCTACTCTTTACGCCACTGCCGGTGGAGTTATAGCCTCATTCATATCGGTTTTTTGGTCATTTGGCTATATTCAACTTTCTGAGGAACTCGAGAGGACTGCTAATGAACCTTCAAAGGTATTGTGAGAAACTTGTGACAACAGTTTAAAGCGCCTGATTTATTTATTCATAATGATCCTCCAAAGTGCAATTCTCTCATATGACAGACAAAAATTATGTTATCTATAGATACTTTAAGTTAATTATCTTAACATCTCATGTTTGAAGTAAATAATACGACCCTTACTCGAAGTAACTAAGCTGTATAAGTTCATCAACTTATTTGAAAGAAAAGGGTGACATTTCTTATATTGTTGGGAAGTTCTTTTCCCTAGTTTCTGTCACCTTATTTGATTCCTTGAATTTGAATTGTAGACTCAGTGATTAATGCTTATTTGAAAGTTCAACTTATTTGAAAAAAAAGGTGGCATTCCTTGATCTAGATTAAGTCACCTATTATGTACAGGATTTTCTTTTTTGTTAATTTGGAGGATTAGTTTATGGTTAGGTATATCCCCAAATTCAGGGTCTACTTGATCTTTGATTAACTTCTGACAAACAAATATCCATCGAGTTTCATGCTCCTCGTGCCGATGTTGTGAAAAGCTTGAAAATGGTATAGTTCTGAATCTTTTGGGAAGGGGTGCTGCTATTCTTGGCATGCAATCAACAGTTGGTTTACTAGTTGCGAAAGCTCTTACTCCCTCCACAACTACTTATTACCAAAGAATCGCTCCTGGCTCTGGTCCGGTTCTTGCCTTGGATGTATTATTGGTGCAGGTAATTAATCTAATTTCAGTTTCATAATGGATATCTATAACATTAACTCAGTGAGATCCATGTTTTTGAAATTGAGCGTTTACTAGAAGAAATAAAAGTTCAAAAGCTGCCTTAGGTGACCTGCTAGCAATGCGATCATTGCGTTGTAACCTTGGTTAGCGCATGGCCTTACATATCTCTTGCTCGTGCTGGCATCAGCTAACACTATCCTTTCTCATTTTCTGGGGCTGGTGTTCTCGCTCGAACTGTTGCGCTCAGTGACGTTACCTAATACAGAGACTAGTCCAATTCCCAAGATCACGTAAGTTCTGCTTCTCTTGGTAAATTTCATCAATTGAAGCTTCTGCTGGAACATGATTTTGCGGGCTTAATTGCTGAAATGTGTATCAATACAATGTGGGGCGATGAGTTTTATAGTTAAATTCTTTTGGTTTATATATGCAGATTCCAGGGGACAAAATACTTGGATTAGCTAAATTCTTCCTTGGTATTGGAGTTACTGGCGATGCTAAAGATTTCTTGCAGTGAAACTTACACATCTAAAATTTTGATGCAGCCTGGAACTTTTGATCTCGTGGGTTCGATTATCTATGATATAGCTTTATCGATGAGGAGTTTAAAAGAGAAAGCACTGCAATTAATCTTGTAAATGTGATTTTTTTTTTAAATTTTCTTAGACTACTTTTTAGTTAATGATGTTGAAGTACATTACATTTCACTTGAATGTTTGTAAACTTTGATTTATTTATGTCAACTATTTTTACTTAATCCGAGTTGTAATTAAATTTTAAGGTGGTTGTTATTGGATATTGCTACACGATATTAAATTTGAGTAATAAATAACAAAAAATAACATTTGCAAATTAGGTTGGTTTAGCGGTGTTTTAAGATAAAAATTAGTTTTAATTAGTGGCGTTTGTATAATTAATAAAATACCACTAAATACATAGTCAATACCAATGTTTGTAAAATAAAATGCCACTAAGTTCAAGATCTTTTGTGGCTTTTATATAGTAAACGCCACTATATACGTAGTCAATAGCGGTTTTTATATTCACAAACGCTACCAAAGACAAGATAAATAGCGGTGTTTTCTTAAACAAAGCTAAAGATCATAACTTTTAGCGGCGTTTGAAATTTATAAATGCCGCAAATTTTTGGAGTTTATTTTTGTGTCACAAGAGTTTTTAACGACGTTTAAAACGCCGCTATATAACTAAAAAATCGGTGAAACCTGTTTTGCTGCAGCAGTGAATAACTGAAACTATTTGATTGATAGAATAAACACAGCCTTATAATATATTAATTTAAAACAAATACCATATTATTTAAAAGTTCACTTTTAAAAAAAAACAACCTAATATTTTTGGTGAAAAAAATTAGAAATCAATACATGCAACAAGTTTAGCGTAAATTCATCTTTTGAGAACTTGTGAAAATAAATTCGAATAACAAATAGATCAACTCAAACGAAATGATAATTAAGTTTCTAGATAAGATATTGCCACAACTAATTCTATTTAAAAAGATTATAATTAAATTGTAAGATTTTTTTTGATCATAAATTTTAAATAACTATTCAGTTCTTTCTATGATTTATTTAGTTATCGTTTAATTCAACAATAACCCACACATAATTACTCTGCGGATTTAGGATATTAATTAAGAGTGTGTTTGGATGGGGGTATGTGAGATTACCGGGAGAATATTTTTTTCCGGAATGTGATTCCCCCGTTTGGACTGCAAAGATTCCCAACCCCCGGTAATAAGTCATTCCCAACAGTAGCATTTTGAGGGCTTATTACTGGGAATGTGATTCCCCCTAATCCCTTAGGTATTATTACATTCTCGGCGTTTTGGACTAAAATACCCTTAACATAATTTTTTTTCAAAAATATCCTTCTTCTGTCGTTGAATTAAAAAAATTTCTACAAATGTTAAATTACAAATTTATTCTTAAATTATTTTAGATTTACAAAAAAAGTCTATAATTAGAATTTTATATGAAGTTTAGGGATTAAAATAAAATTAAACTCTTTCATTAAACCTATTTATCTTTTAAATTTTGTAAAAAAATTATATAAATTTTATGAATTTAAAATTTTTAAAGAAAATATATAAATTAAAAAATAGTAAAATTATATATTTTCTATGATCTTTTATACAAATATTTTCATTTTAATATTTACAATTTGGTAAAATATACATCCCAATAATCTTTTATTCCTTTAACCAAACACTGTAATCTTACATTCATGCTAAACGAACCAAACACAACAATGCAATATTCTCAGTAATATATTAGGCATTCCCAGTAATATGTTAGGTAATGTTACATTCCAGTAATCCTATTCTCGAAGGTAATGCTAAACTCCACGAATCAAACGCACCAGAGACATTTCATTAAATCGTTTGCGGTTGCAAAGAAGTTGGCATCGGCCGCCCAAAAAGCAGCTATTGCAATGATAGATATATACATCCTAAGTTTTAAGAGGTTGGATAATTAAGGAATGCTAAATATCATTCGCTTTTTTTTTTTGGAAAAAAGGTAATTTTGTATGAATTTATTAAAGCGTATTCTTTAGTTATATTAAATTATTCAATATGATCTTTTGTAGTTTAAAAATATATAAAATAAATTAATTATATCTTTTACATAATTCATTTACTTTGACTGATCAAGTTTAGATAAGATAAATCTGATCTGTGATGCTGTTTTGATGGATTTTAAATTTAAATAAATTAATCAATGATTGTTCATTTGTTGAGCTCGTACGTGATGAATAACTTGTGTTCATAATAACCTAGTTCAAAGCAACGCATGCTCATATCATTTCTATTAAGAGTAATATAGTTTCTTGCTCTTTAATTGAAAAAAATATTCACACAATATATTTTAAAAATATATTTTTAAAAATTATAAATTTAAAAAATAATTTAAGGTATAAACCTGAATCAATAATTTTGTTCTTATTTTTTTTTATTATTTCGATTTTGTTATTTGTCCAATATCGACAATTACATTATTAACACGATAGTTGTCCACAGTACTGATGTGATGGTCTATAATATTGACGTGATAGTGCAATGACAGTTTGATTAAGAGTTTGGTTGATTTTTTTTATCAAATTTAAGAAAATGGTTGATTTTTTATTGAATTTGAGGATCTAATTAATTTTAATTAAAAATTAAGGGTTTGTTTAATATTTTAAATAAAAACAAAATTTTAAAAATTATTAAAATCCCAAAAGTATAAAAAAATTACTAAAAAATAAAAATATTATTAAAACTTTTAAAATATATAAAAAACAAGAAGTTATATAATAATAAATAAAAAATTAATAAAAATTAAAATTTACAAATATTTATAATGCATTAATTTTTTTTTTGAATATTTTTATAAAAAAGAATCTTAATTTATCTCCAATTAATTTAAGTCGTCTATTATTTACTGAACTTATTTTCAATTAAATCAATATCAAATTTCATCCAAAAATCAATTAACTTCCTTTATCATGTCATGATTTATACTTGTACATATCAACATAGTTAACCTTCATACAATATTGTAACAATCAGCATCAATTATAAGATAAAATTGATACAATTAAACGAGTTTAAGAATAAAACTTTTATAATTTCATATTGATATCATAACAATCAACATCCGATACAATTAAATAAATTTAAGAATAAAATCAATATAATTAGAAAAAAAGTATTACTTTATATTTATAATCCCTAAACTAAAGTTATAATATACTTAATGCTATAGAATACAAGCAGTTTTGTTGTACGACCACTGATATAAGGCTAATCTAAGGTAACTTTTAAGCTAAAAATGTTATTATGTTAGATTTAAAAAATTATATAAATTTATAACATTTTCGGTTGCAACAAAAAAATGTTACATTGCGATTGTTTTAAGGTTTACAATCAAAAAAATTATACAACTTATAATAATTCGATTACAATAAAAAAATAAGCAAAAATACATCAAAGGTCCTTGTACTTTTGAAAAAAATTAACGTGACATTCGTATTATTTTTCTCTTAATACGGTCTTTCAACTCATAAATCAAACTCAAAATGACCATTTGATCAACGTTTTTTTGTCGTTGACTGTTACGGTGTTCGTGTGACAGTTCACGTTGCTGATGTGTGTTGAAAACATTTTGATGTTTCGATATAACAAATTAAGTATAATTGAATTTTAAGATTTTAAAAATGATTTTCTAAGTATATTCGATTTAATTACTCGGATATCAAAATATTACTCCAAGTCTTTCAAAGTTCAATTTCAATCCTTACTAATGTGTAAAATTGTGTTTTATACTTAAACTATTTTTAAACAATTTTCACAAAGTATTTCAAACCAAAAACGAGCCTATGCAGCATTGAATAAATTGAACATCGAATGCATTTTATGCATCGATGCAC